TGGCAGTGGCTTGGTGGGAGTATTTATACCCCACCGGTGGCCTGTTGGTGCCGATTGTCATGGTGCTCATCGTGGTTGGTTGGCCGGGGATTTCGGGATGGGTCAGTCCCGATCTCCTCGGCCGAAAATCTCGGTGATCGGTGTGTGGTGGCGTTGAGGCTTCTGGTACCTTCCCGGATTTGATCTCGACCGTTGGATTGGGTCAGATCCAACGGTCTGGATCTGGCTGCGCATTTAAGGGTTAGACAAACCCTTGTTATTTTGCAATCCTGACCATTGATCCCATCTCGATCTGACGGTTATGATTCATGCGGTGCTGGACTTAATGATAGAACCCTAAACCTTTACTGGGTTGGTTCATGCCCTAATCCTGGACTGATTGAACCTTAATGATAGACCTAAAAAATAAATAAATAAATAAATAAACGAGTAAATAATAATAAACAAGAAATAAATAAAAAATAAAATACTATATAATATATATTTAAAAAAATGTTTTAAAACTATATACATTTCAAAAATATTTTCAAAACCATATACTATATAATTTTAAAAATGTTTTAAAACTATATGTTATAGTTTTCAAAAACGTTTTAAAACTATATTATATGTTTCAAAAAAAATTTCAACTATATATTATATAAATTTCAAAATGATTTTAAAACTATTTATTATATAAGTTTTCAAAATGGTTTTAAAAACTATATAATATATATGGTTTCAAAAATATCTTCAAAAACTATATAATATATATGTTTTCAAAAAAATGTTTTCAAAACTATAATATATATGTTTTCAAAAATGTTTTCAAAAACTATATATATATAAGTTTTCAAAATGATTTTAAAAATCATATATTATATATATTTTTTAAAATATTTTTTTTAAAACTATATATTATATATTTTTAAAAACTATTAAAAACTATATATTATATACGTAGTTTCAAAATATGTATATATATAAATATGTAGGTACATATAAAGGAAAAAAATATGTCGACGAAAATTAGTGTCTACATCTTGATATCACACAAGTAAGGTTTTGAATTTGAGTTTTTGTGAACGTAAAAAATCCTTGTTAGGAGATTCATCCACTAAAATCAAGTGTACGACTCGAGTCGATCCAAATTAGTCAAGACAAAATTTTTAAAACCTGAAGGTAGAAAAAAAAACTGAGATAATATTCATTATTAATATATTATAAATTTATTCCATTAAACTCTCAACTTTTATAACTAAGGAATCATAATTAAATAAAGGATTTTTATGTTATTATTTTTTATGTACGTCACGGTTCGAGCACTGATGACTGTAACAAATGATTGAGTATTTATTATTATATGATTGAGAAAATTTAGAATATTTATTACTCTGTAGTCGCTTTAATTTAATAAAAAATGATATTTTATTTCGAATCTCCGTCCCCAATTTTCATATAAATATACAATTCGGAAACTTAAAGATAAATTTTAGTTGATGCATGAACTCTGACTATTTCTTTTTTTTGGAAAAAATGTAAATCCAAGCTTATGTCACACTCTAACCTTGAAATATTATCGAAAAATTTTATATTAAAAATGTGAATATTTTATTATATTTTTTTCTTCAACTAAATAATTTTTTTATTTTAAGCATTGGACAGGTAAATAAATAAATAAATATATTGATTGATTAGCCGCCACATTTTTATATTAAACTGTTCCCATCTCTGACTTCCCACACCAACGGCATCTCTCATGCCCCACCTCATCTCTAGCTCTCAATAAAAAGAAAAAAAAAGTTTGGATCAATGATATTTGATTATTCTAATTTAATTAAAAAATTTAAGTTTACATAATTAAAAATAAAATTATGAAATATTTAATGAAGGAGCTTTATAATATATATAAAATAAAACTACCTCATTAAAAAAAATTCCTTCTAAGATTTATAAAGGGAAAAGAGTACCTTAGGACCTTGAATTAGCATAAGAAAAATCATTAGATATAACAAATGTAATAATCTAAGGACAAAGCGAGTCAAAATACATACGGACACTAATGTATCGGATCCCGTCTGAATTCTGCAGTTAAGTGTATTTGGATGAGAATGATACTAGGATTGATATTCTCTTGAAAAGTCTTCGTGTTACAAGCACGAACCAAGTGACTTCTATAATAAAGAAATTATTGTGATTATATCTAAATCAACGTAATTAATCTTTATTCATTTTATGAAATAGATAGGTGAAAGACACTTATAGATTACATAAGATAAGTATAAAATACTTAATAAAATTAATATTTATTTAAACCATTAAATGAATATATCAATAATTATTTGGTTTAGTTAGACGAAACACTAGATTCCTTAAATAATGTCAGGGGTTTGAATCTTGATGATTATGAATTGAGCAAACTTGGTTGGGAAGATTACCCTTATCTTTACAGTATCCAATTCGAATTAGTCGATCAATAGATCGAATACTAATACTTATAAAAAATCATTAAATGAATAGACGAAGAGTACTCATATTTTTTTAATGAAATAAAAATAAAAGTCGAAAAAAACTTACATAAACCCAGCATTCATATACTTGTTAGGCATGACATGGACGACTATTGACATGAATATATATATATATATATATATATATATATATATAGATATTAGTAGAACTCGTTTGACATATGGCTAATATTATAATGTTTTTCTTTTGAACAAACAAGATTATTGTAAGATTAACAGTTTAATTATTGGCCAATAATAATGATTTTTTTTTTCAGATCCATGTAAAGTGGGAAACAAATTGGCTTGGATCAAGTTGGATAAAGTTTGCTTTTATTAAGTTGCAAATCACACACTTCCCCATTCCTAAACTAAAATAAACTCCTTATGATTATAAAATATATCAATAATAATTAAAATGATGACTAAAATTATAAATTAATAAATCTAAAATAAAAACCAACGGCTGATTCAAATGGTAAGCAACTTGATATCGCTTAAGCAAGGTTTCCGGTTTAAGTCATTGTGTATGCAGAAAATCCCTGCTCGGAGACCCATCTACTAAAATCAAATGTGTGACGCATGTCAATTCGAATTAGTCAGGATGAAGCATTATAACCGGGAGAACAACAAAAATATATATATCTAAAAACAAAATTATTTCATGTATTGTTATTAGAGTTTAAAAACTTCACAAATATAATCATGGACGATAATAGATCGAACCATATCATTATGATTTCGAATTTGACTTAATTTGACTCGAGTTTAAAGAAAATTAGTTTGATTTAAAATTTGATATGAATTTTAGCGTAAAATCAACACCGAACTTAACCCTACTCTACTCAATTCCTATTTTTATTTGAAAAAAATACGAAGCTAATTGAAATGTATATAGAGAAGTATTATAGCAATATTTTTAAAAATATAAAAGATAATTATATTACTCATCATCCACAAAACTCAACATGAGTCGGGTTTAAGAATTTCAACCGACTTGAAATTCGTTTGGATCTGAATTTAAATTTTAAAATAAAAAATTTAATCTTATAAAATTAGATGAAATTAAATTTTGTTAAATCTGAACCAACTTTAAACACAAATTATAAAATGTATTTAAACACAATACCTCTCGCAACCATCGTACGATAACATTATACCTAACCTAAGGACCAACTTAAAAAAAATTCAACTTAAAATGTTGAGACAATATCTAGGTTTCTAGGACAGGCAAAAACCTTATTGGTTAACTGAAAACTATTGGTTTGCCATTGCGATGGAACCATATTTAGCTTTTGTCTTTCGTTTTGTACATATGAGTAAGTGTAAGTACCGACAGCATCAACTAATGAGTTTGATATAAATAATTCCGATGGATTTAAAAATATTTTTTAAAAAAAATATAAAACATATATAAATAAAATTTTAAGATAAATACTTTTAATAAAATAAACAATTATAATAAATAAATTCAAATTCTAAAATAAATAACAATAAAAAAAATATAAAACATATATAAATAAAATTTTAAGATAAATACTTTTAATAAAATAAACAATTATAATAAATAAATTCAAATTCTAAAATAAATATGTATCCACCTTAAGTTATACATTCATCCGTCACCGTTGTGGACCACCATTTATGGAACGCACCAAACTCTTAACACACTGTGTACTCCCATATCCCATAGTAATAAACATTAGAGATCATACAATTTCCATCTTTCCTGTCACGTCAATGTAATATTTGACGGTCAAGATGCACATAAACACTATTGTGTTGATATTTTGAGCTTTCATCAGCTTTGGTTCTTTGTCAAATTATTTTAAACTTTTTGAAGATATTTGTTGATATTGTGGGAATGGTCAGAGGTTGAACTACCTACCGAGTTGAAATTATGTTCAACTCAATTTTATTATATTTTGGCATTTAGAAAATATTTTGATTCGGTTTAACTTTTTAATTGTAATATATAGTATTTTATTTTAACTTTTTTGTTATAAAAATTTATGTGAAATATAGGTGTTTAAATGCGTTAACTGTCAAATTTAAAATTTTTAGAATAAATTCTTTCTTATAATCATCACAATTTAATAAAAAAAATACGTAACTTTAAAAATATATTTCATGGAGGGGATTTGACATACTAAGTAATCAAAATACAATTGATTCAATTCACAGCTTAAATGCTTCTCTAATGGACCAAAATTTAAAATTTCTTAGACAAGTTTCACGAAATCAAATTGAAATACAAGCAATCCCTTCACATCAAAGGGACCGACCCTAAAACAAATTTTAACCTATTGAATAAATTTAACAAAAAACTTAGGCTTCGTTTATTTGGGGAACGTTTTCCTATGTTTGGTTCAAGTAAAAGAGAGGAGTCTAAATATTTTCCACGTTTTTTCTATGTTTGGTTCAAGTAAAAGAGGGGAGTTAACGTAAATTATTTTCCAGTCAACGTAAAAAGCAGCCCCAAACTCCGTAAAACAACTTACCCTTTGAAAAATGTTGAAGTCATTTTCCAGACGCTCCTTCACATTTTCTCTTCCCTCTCTCCACACCCAAAATCAGTCGCAATCCAGTGGCCTCCTTCTCACCGGCGAAACTGACTCAGTCGGACGGTCATCTTCTCAGGTAAATCTCTCTTTTCATTTTCATCTTCTCGGTTCTTCGTCTTTGAGATATATCTGTAACCTCGATTTATTGTTTATGTTTTCCCTTGCAAATGGCTATTGCCTTTGATTCCCAATTAAGTTAGGTGGTGGTGGGTTTAGGAGAAGAAGCAAAAGAGTTTTTGGTTACCGTCTAATTTCATTTTCTTTGATGTTTCTTTGTCTTTCATTGTGTAGAAAGATTCTATTTTTATCCAGGGATAATTTTTTTCCTTTTCTGTTATCATTGTTCTTTGAGCTTTATTTTATGTTGGGTATGTTCTGTTTTAACTTATGATTTGAATTTAATTATTTAGTGCAAATGAAAAAAAATGTTTTTGGGTAATTGTTTAGCGCAAAGTAATATTTTCTATCACAATTACAGTGCATAATTTACAATTTGTCATTCAGTTGCAAGCTGTTGAGCAAAAGAGTGTTTATTGCAGTTCATCACTATGTTGCTCAAGACTTGGGTTAGTACTAGATATGCATATGTTTCTGACACTGGCACCCCCAAGTCTGTGCAAATGAAAAGACCATTTGCAATTCATCCGTGGATCGATTCAGAGGAGAATGTTGGGAATCTTCTCATGGTAGGACATACTTATCAGTTTTCATCTGCTTTAAGTTACAACCCTAACGCTCTTTCTTATGCACTTCATTGCAGTTTGATTCATAAATGTTTTAAACTAAAATTATACATATTCTAAGTTTCTAAGGTACTACTTCTGATGCTACGGTTTCTGTCATCAGGCATGGAGATTTCTTATTACTTTTGCTGATGTTCTTAGACTATGGCCATTTACCCTTGATGAGTTTGTGCAAGCATTACACGACTATGTAAGTTTCAAATGCAATATTTTGATCTCTAGCTTAATTTTTATTTCGCTCACTATTTTGATATTCTTACCATTTTGATATCAGGAGTCAAGGTTGTTGGGTGAGATTCATGTTGCCCTTTTGAAATCAATAATAAAAGATATTGAGGATGTTGCAAGAACAACTGTGACTGGATTATGGATGAATCAGTACAGTGCTTCCCATCTTGAAGGTGGACACCTTCAGATTGTTGAAGGGGTAAGTGGTGTAAAGATTTGTCATGGTGTTTAGTTTTGTTGTTGCTGAGCCATTTCGCATTTGGTAAATTCTAGGCATATTCCTGGGGTTTTGACATCCGCAGTTGGTAGCATCACTTGAATTCAGTGACATGGCCTGAAATTTTCCGGCAATTAGTAATATCTGCAGGCTTTGCACCACAGTTGAAGAAACAAAGTGCTACATGGACGTACACGGGTGATAACCACGAGGTTTAATCATCTCTTTCTACTGTAACGTATTCAGCGTTCATGTTTGCGTGTATGTGTGTATTATCTGTGCTTGTATATATGTGTATATACACACACACACACACATCTCTGTCTGTGTGGTGTTTCACAATGGAAATGCTTAAAGGCTGGATATATTGCTTGGAACTCTCCTCATAAGAATACCTGTATCCTCGATTCCTACAGATATCACTTCTGATGTTTAAGATGGAGATAAATATTTAATAGGTAATGTAATAGGAAAGCAACTTAGATGGCCTGTGTCATTGTATTTGTGGCAATAATTCTTTTACATGAATTTGAATTGCTTTTTTAATAATGTATTTTGTATTAGCTTGCTGTTGGGATATTTCTTAATCATAGTAGGTTAGAGTTCCATGCTTATTTTGTATCATCTTTAATAGTTATTTGCTTCAGTGATTTGTACCATCAGATTTTAAACAGCTTATGGATATTGGCTTATTGTCTGAGTTTATTATTGCGTCAGGACCTTCAGAGAAAAGGTTGTTGAGATGTAGTTTCTACTCTACGCAATGGTGCAGCAGCTGAGAATGCTTTTGCATTGATGCGAAAAAAAAAAGTCTGTTACTTCCAAGAAAATCAAGACATCGTTTGACACCTGGAACTGTCAAATTTGCAGCTTTTCATGTTCTTTCGCTTGAGGGAAGCAAAGGATTAACAGTGTTTGAACTTGCAGATAAGATTCAGGAGAGTTTGGATTGTGTTCCTTAAGGTGTCAAATTGGTTTTTATGGTTTACACACTTGTTCCTAATTACATGTTTCCTACAAGAAATCTGGACTTCGGGACCTGACAACTAGCAAAAGGCCTGAAGCTTGTATTTCGGTTGCTTTGACGAGGGATGCTAAGCTTTTTGAAAGAGCAGCGCCTTCAATTTATTGTCTAAGATCTGTATATAGGAAAAAGGGATGTTTCCTAATTACATGTTCGATTTTCTAGCGAATAATGAGCTAGAGGCCAAAGCTTTTTTGGCTAAAAAAACAAAGCAAAGGAAAATTTGACTTCAAACCTTTACCCAAGGTTATGATGTGAACTTTTAATGTGGTGTAATATTATTTATGACTTATTAGACAATATTTTAGCTCTAACGTGTTGTAGTACTAATTATAGACTTCAACAATATTGTTGGTTTTATGTGTTGTAGCACTAATTATGAATTAGATTTTGTATTATTACAGTTAGAAGTTATTGTTGTTTTAATGTGATAAACCCTTTAATTATATATTTTGACACTATTATTATTATTATAATGTTATGTATTATTGTTGTTTTAATGTGGTGTACTATTAATTAAATCTACATAATATTTATAAACTTTTATAATATATTTTTAATAAATTATTAATATTATATCAAATAAACTACATAATATTAATTATACGTTGAAATCCATTTATAAAAATATTAATAAATAAGCATCATAAAGATTTTAATCTTAAAATAGTGTATTTATAATGCAATCAACATAAATTATTGATATTATCTAAAAATTTAATTTGACGTACTTGTAAAAATACAAATTTTTATAAAATATAATTACATAAAAAAAATGAACATTTAATAAAATTAAAAGGTAAAGAATAAAAACATAATGTAAAACATTTTACAATGTACATTTTAAACATTGAAAAACATTTTCTGAAAAATATTTTCAAGAAATGTAATTCATTTTCAGATTTCATTTTTCGAAAATTGTTTTCAATGAAACAATTTTCCGGAAACTTATCGAACACATTGCAAGATTTCAAAACACAACCAACATGTGTAGAAATCTATGAACATGTCACTGTTAAATTGAGAATAGCAACATTTACATTCTATGAATTATGTGTGAAATATTTGGTGTATGATATGATTTAAGATCAAATAATTTATCTATTATCTAAATCTGCACATAGAAACAAATATACGCCGACACTCTACTTCAATAGTACCAAATCAAGACGTAGTTTATTCAATAACATCATAGTACAAATTAAACCATGCTTGTCAAACATCAATTTTTATAACATCAAAAGTCATATCATAGAATTCATACGGAACAATCTGTAACTTTAAAACCTTTAATTAAATTTAGGTGACTTTCAAAACTGGATAGGCACTCACATGAAAGTAGAGCTTTGAAAAGCAAATAGAATAGCTTCGAAGAGCCTATAACCAGTCAATTACACTTAACATCCATAGAGTTACAAGACCATTTTTATTTGATACTTTTATATTGTTTTCATTTAGCATACTTATATTTTTATGTATCCTTTTATGACAATATAATCAAATTTATCTGCATAGTATTGAAAACAAAACACAACATCCAATATAGTCAATTGGTAGAATTAATATATTCACCAAGGGTAATATGACTTTTTTTTTCATAATATAATCATGTGTTGATGCATTTTATCATCGTATCATGTTTTATAATTTAAAAATATAGTTCATCAAGCATGATTTCAACACTTTATAGCTCATACCTTATGAACTCCAATATCTCATGATCATCTTTAACATAGAGAATTATGCATATGTTTATGAAGTGATTGTTACTAATCGAATGAATAATATGTCTATCAAAAATAAGATTGTTTCAAACATTTTGCAATGTTTTTTCAATTCAAACAAGAGAAATGAAGGCACAATGTGTATAACTAAATCACGACGCCTCCACGTGATCTTTTAGAAAAGGATAATAAAATGAAAATGCTCGATAGATTTCAGCTCCTCAAACAACCAGTGTTTGGACTGACTTTCTACTAGGTTGTTAATGACAAAAAATTGTATTTTAAAAAGCACAACTATCAACAGTCCATTGTCGTCCAGTGTTAGGATATCTGGCTTCACCCAGGAGACCTGGGTTCAATTCCTGGCAATGAAAAATGTTTTTTACTTGGTCTTTTCTTCTTTTTGTTCTGGCATTATTAATCCTTTTTTCTTTTTCTCGATCTTTCATGGCATTAATCATATAGGTCTACATTGCTGCAACCCAGAAAATAATTCAGGCTCTTTCATGCCATTAAAATGGAAATATTGGGAAACTAGCATGATAGTTGAATACAAAAACATTAACAATTCCAATCACATGACAACGTTAATCAATGAACTCCTCTGTTACAAGCCACTCGCTTCCGACTTTTCTTTTCATCAATGGCCTTAACAACAGCATGATAAATATCTCTGATTCCACTTGTTCATTGTCCTCGAGCAACGGAAATGGCTTCCATGGAAAACAAATGGCTGCGAGACAAGCTAGCTCGAACAACATCAAGATCAAGTTCATCAAATGCTTTGTTGCAGCAACTCACTTTAACATCAAACTGTTCTCCAACCTTCTCCACTTTCACCTCCTGTTAAGCTCCACATTGAATATATATATATAGGCATTGTCAACATGAAGATATATAAAATTAAGTAAAGCAAATCACCTTTGGGATTTGTATATGTTCCAATACAGTGAAGTATTCGTTTCTGATATCCCTAAGGTTTAGGCACTCTCTTTGTAGTTGTTCCAACTTGAGTTTGAGCTTGTAAAAATGGAGAACATTTTTACAGATGGAAACCCTTTTAGCCTTAAAAAACAACATAATGGAACCAAAGCAAAACAAAATGGAGATGAAAAACAATAGTATAGCATCTCATTATCTTACAGATTTGGGGTTTGCGGGAGTTTGCAGAAGAAGAAGCTTTCTTCGAGATGATGATCTTTGTAGCTTATTAGCAGCCATATATGGTTCTTTTGCCTATCATCTTTCAATGTAAAATGTTATATAGATTTTGAATTTAGTGTGTCTTGGAATTCAATATTTGTTTGCTAATTTTGATGTTTTGTTGGAATGATTGTCAGATATTTAATTAGGTTAGCAGACAAAGTTGTTACTGCAAAGCTTAAGACATGGGAAGAGACAAAAAGGGTTTCATTGATTAACAGTAATAATTAAGGTTGTTGCAGACTTGAATCCTTTCTCTGCTTTTGGTTTATATCAACCGACAATGGAGTATGGACAAAGAAGGTAGTGTGTTGATAATGTAAAAGAAAGGGCCACTTGGGGCTAACAAGAAACACCAAAATGATAAAAATGGATTATTAGGTTGTCATAACTCATATATTCCCTGTTTCAGTTAGCATTCTTATTTTGCATGGGAAATGATGTGGGAATTTGTTCAGATGATCCGAGGAGCTAGAGCCAGAGAATCAGGCTGTCAATAAAACAGTAGGTGCTACCAGTCCACTATGGTTTGAGCCAGAATTCAGAATCTCATATAGTTGAAGTGTTTTCTTTATATTTTCTACTGATAATATATTTTTGTACCTTAAAATTTTATAGATTTGTCTCCATAACATAAAATTCTATGTCCGTCCACTCCTCGTTTTTGGTCTAAGACCATGAAATCTGATAATCATATTGGATCCTGATAATCAAACCATAGGTGCTACCCTTTGCCTTCGCATGCTAAGCTGGTTGTGCCTTTGCATGATAATCAAATCATATTGGATTCTGATAATCATATTCGTAGTAGCATGTTTTTACCCTTCAATCTAAAGATTTTTTTTTTTGTTTTTGGTATTTCCAATTATTATTATTAATTCTATTGATTTATGTTTCAATTTTTGCTTAATTGATTAATGATAGATTTCTAATTGTTTGACGTTCTTCAATTCTACGAATCTATGTTTCAATTTTTCTTTAACTTTGGTGTTTTTGGTTTAATTTTTTTTTATTTAAGTTGAACATACGTATTAATTTCGATGCATGAGAGTTTATATTTTTGCATTAGTATAGTTCATACAAGGCATTATAAATTTGTGATCTTGCTTTTCCAAAACCAAGGTTGAACCTGACATGCGTTTGGAAACTTTTTTTTTCCTGCCATGTATCCTTCCATTGCAAAAGATAAGCTGATATTATATATAGTAAATGTTTGGGACGTTCATAACTCATTTTTTTGGTTATTATTGTTTAA